GAGGCCGACTACTATGGCTTGTTGGATGAAGTCTTTGATATAGAATATCATGGGTATGAGCTCGGTCGCTGTGTTGTCCCACTATTTAGATGCACATGGTTTGACACAGTTAACGGCGTCCGAGTTGACCCAAAACATAATATCGTGGACGTCAAACATAGATCAAGGCTTCGTTTAGACGATCCGTTCATCCTAGCATCACAAGCTGAACAAGTCTATTATGTACCATATCCATTGAATTTATTAAAATATTGGTGGTCTGTGGTGATGACAAAGCCAAGAGGGGTCTATGACTTAGCATTGAGTACCCCTGAAGTCCGGTTGGATGATGAAAATATAGACGATGAACAATTTTTCCAGGAAAATGAACGAATAACCCAACATGAGGGAAACGAAGATGTTTAAGAACCAATCCAGCTTGTCATAGGGGAAGACAACTTTGAAGTCGGCCAAACCGTATAATGATAACATGAGTGCCGCGAGGAAGAAAGCTGGGGAAAAAGCAAGGATGAATGGGTATCCTCAGTACGATGAAACGGACCCCCACCGGGATATGAGTCTGTTGAAGAATTTCCCCCCCAGCTGGATATCATCAGATGTGTGGGTCCAGATGGTCGATCGTTGGAACAGTGATAATTGGAAGACTCTTTCCAGTATGGCGCATGAGAACCGTGATAGCCAAGTTTCGCTACACACCGGTGGATCGATACCATTTTCGGAGCATGGTGCTCGTCTGGTAGAACCTAAAACCCATTAATTTAGTAGCTTGATTTTTAACATGTTATAATTAACACATGTTTGTATAATTTGACCTTTGTAGACACGAGCAAAAGATGGCGTGCCCCCGACCATTGTGGAATTATTCGATTACACACACAAGAAGAGGTCAAGTGGAGATGCCGCATCTACGGATTCGGGGGGTACGTGACCACTAAGTGTAGCCAARTCATGGTAAGTATATCTATCTATTATAATTGAGTTGCCATTTATTGGGCAAACATTATAATTGTTTAAGTTAGAAATTACGTATATATTTCATTATTTAGTTTGGGTTGCCATTTGTTGGGCAAACATTAAGATTGTTTACGTTAGAAATTACGTATATATCATGCTTTAGTTGGGTTGCCATTTGTTGGGCAAGCGTTAGGATTGTTTAAGTTAGAAATTACGTATATGTCATTATTTAGTTTGGGTTGTCATTTATTGGGCAAACGTTAGGATTGTTTTGGAAACGTCCCATTTACAGCCGTTATGCTGTCAAAATTGACTTGCAATCTTTTTTAAACTATATATAGGATGAGTATTCAACTGGTATCAGCCAAAGATACGGCGATGATCCCTCAACCTATCCCTTAGTTGATAAAGAGTTGTGGGAGCAAGCGGTTGGGGGAAGCAAGAAATGCCGTTTATTTGGGTTTGGGTACAACTAAGATCCCAATTGTGTCTTGACCGGGAACTTTCCGGAAGCTGGTTCATCGTCTTCAGATAAGCACGTATGTGTCTCTTTTCCTTTGATGATGTTTATCGACTTAGCTTATAATTCATATTAAATATTATAACGTTTTATTTATTTTATAGGAAATTCAAACCTTAAAGACCCAACTTAGAGACTTACAGGAACAAAGTCAGCGCCAACGGATGGCGGAGGCGGAGCAACGTTTGGCGGAGGAGGAGCGATGGCGGGAGGCGGAGGAGCGACATTTGGCGGAGGAGGAGCGACGGCGGGCGGCGGAGGAGCGACGTTTGGCGGAGGAGGAACGACGACGACAGAAGGAGGAGCAACATGATAGACAACTTCAAGATATGGCTACTTTGGTTAGACAGCTCAGTCAATCTCAACATTTCCCCCCGCCACCACCATATTGAATATTGTCTTTTGCTTTGAAACAATTTAGTTTTGTTTATAACAATTTAGTTTTTGTTTGGTTGGAATAATTATAGTTTCACTTTAATGTATGATATTTAGTTCTATTTCGCATTTTTATTTTCAGTTTTAATATTGTACAGATTTGTAGGTTTTAAATATTAATTTTAAAATAAATTTAAAATATTAATATTTATATATTTTCCGGCGGATATATCCGCCGGTATTTTTTTTTTAAATTTATTCTTTTAGAAATATTATTTTTTTAAAAAAATATTAATATATATATATATATATATATATTTGTCCGGCAGATTTCTGGTGGATATATCCGCCGGTATTTTTTTTTAAATTATTCTGTTAGAAATATTTTTTTAAAAATATTAATATTTATATATTTATATATTTTTCCGGCAGATACATCCGCCGGTATTTTGTTAAATTTTTTTTTCTTTTAGAAAATATTATTTTTTTCCTGCGAGAAATATTTCCGGCGGAATATTCCACTGGAAATTTAAAAAAAAAAAATATTTAACCGTTTGTTAAGTTAATCAAGATTTTATAAATAAACGGGCGAGGAATTTCCGGCAGCCGTGATCCGCAGGAAACGGGAAATCCGCTGGTTTTTTCGCCGGAAAAACAATCACCGGCGCCACTTTTTCCGGCGGCCAAATCCGCTGGAAATCCGCCGGAAATCACGATTTCTGGCGGATTTCCGGCGGATTTGGCCGCCGAAAAAAGTGGGTTTTTTGGTAGTGATATGAATCCTACTTTTACTCGGCAAGCGTTTACCATGGTAAGAGTCGTTGCCCTCACTTGCCGGGTAAGACTATTGGTCCTTGTTTCGCTCTTACCGAGTAAGATTCTTGGTCTTTACCATATTGATAAAGAAATGCATTGGTACAATGTTGGGTCCATATTTAGGTGTGCGCTAAAAAAGACATCTTACGGATGTGTGGTCAGGCCAACGCTTGTGAACTTGTCTCAAGATGACAAGTGTATACTCTACATGTTGACCTGCATTTATCGGCAGTGGCCCACCATACAAAACATATTCATGAGCTGAAATTATATCCCCCCTATAATATACAGTATAACATCAAAGTAATAACCATTTGATAATGTACACATTTCAGTTTAAAAAGGGTTAAAAGAAAACTCACCTCGATAAGATATACGACGAAATAAACATTAACCAATATGAGAATTCAAAACCGAACACGCGAATCTGAATAAGGGAAGCATGGATTACAATCTAAACAAATAAACTCCACCACAAATCTAAACAATCTCTAAGACAAGTAAATGATTCCTCGAAAAACCCGAAAATGATACGAAGAAAAAACTGAAAAACGACACCACAGAGACGTACGCGACTTTGGTTGCAGGTCTCGGTTTTTTTTCTTATCATGTTTTGCAGTTATGATAGATACCAATGCCCTTCAGTACTTGATGTGATTATCATCTTTTGGAACTAACAAACTGATGAAGTTCCCACAGATCATGCAAATTTAAGTTATGATAATCAGGATACTCTACATTTCTTTTGAAGGTTTTCATCTGCACATCTCTAAGTACCTCAAATTTGAATACACAATTCTTCTTAGCTTACCCTTCATCTCCAAGAACAGTAGGTACAATTCTTTGAAACTTGCAGGTTCTCTTTCAAGTGTATCTATATAGTAATAATCTGTACTTCATGCCCAAGTTTGAACATTCTTTCAAATTTGCAGTACAAAAACCAATCATTTCTATTCACTTCACCTATTCCACAAGATTGGTTGGCTTTCACAAACTTTCTCAGTATAGTAACTGACTTCTCCTTGACAAGAACATTTTCAGTAGGCAAAAATGTTTAGTTCAACAATCTTTTCAATAAATCATACCTTCTTTGAGAAGCAATCTCTGAATTGTGCTCCATAATCTCTATATAGATATTTACAACTTAAGACATATTCACATCAATAACAGTATCAAAGAAGCCTCTGCACAAGAGGGCAATTCATCATCCATATCATCAAAAATCAACTTCCTTTTGGTAGTAGGCTGTATTTCCTCTAAATCATCATCAACTACAATCTCAACATTTAACATCTCTAGATCAGCAATAGCAACTGTTTCTTCAGAATTAGCATCCATTTCCTCTGTAGCTTTCTGTTTAGACCTAGCAATCTCAGTTTCATTAGATTCAACTTCACCACTTCCATTTCAAACTCAGACTCAATCCTTTATCTCTTATTATTCTCCCCGTTCTGGTGATCAGGATCATCTTGATCATCAAAGTAGTATTTTTCTAAATCAGATCTCTACTCCCTCATAATATCTTCAAGGTCTGTGACTTTGTCCTTAACTTCATCAAAGTCTACCTTGAACACATACCTACCTAAAGTTGAAGGTTTGTACATGTAAGCTTTACGCATTGCAAGGATGGGATTGATAACAGATTCTGTAGTAGAAGTAGGAACTGTTGAAAGCATAGCTTTTTTTGAAACTTTGAGAGGTCTACAACTAAACACTTTAGAGAATCTACAATCACTGATTTGAAGCCATTGCTCGTATTTGTATGAACATCAACAAAAGGCTGTTGAGATATTGAAGTATGAAGTTCACTGAGTTTAATAGTTGTTGATTTCTAAGCATTCTCCATTTCATCCACTTTATCATACACCATGCTTACATCCTTCTTTACATACTCCATCTTCTCTATATACACCCTTCTTTATATATGTCATCAAAGGTTTTGAATTTATCCTTGGTCACCACTCTTGAGGGTAACCCAGATGCAACAAATGCACCTGGTATCACACCTGATGTATCAGGTGGGCCTATGAGTGTAGCATATGCACTAGATGCAATAAAAGCATCTGAGCATGGGGCTTTTGTGATGTTTACCCCACTAGGAATTCTTACCAATCCTAGAATATCTTCATAGACACCTATGGTTGTTGAAACATGACAAACATGTTGTATGATGTCACAAAGACCTATGCAAATGTTCAATGAGAACACATCTTGTGCTGTAATAGGCTCAACAAGTGGTTCCTGTTGGGACACAATAGGTGTTGCCATAGACTTTATGTGCACTTGAATTGAAATTGGGGAATGGGGCAAAGTTCCTCCTATTTCAATATTCATGTTCTCCAAATAAGGACTAGATAGTGTATATGTTTTATCCCCATGAGAATGTGAAACCTCAACCTGTTGAGGTGTTGGTGAGAGGCAAGTTGAGATGAAAGCAAAATATGGAATGGGAGAAGTGTCTCTTTGAATGCCATCCACCAAGGATTGTAGAATGATAGTAGATGCCGGATCCGACTTGAAAAGGCTAGATTAAGAGTTTTATATTCTTCTACTCTTATTCCCTTACTCACATTTAATTATGATTGTCTCTTAGGATTACTAGTACGTCTCTCATTCACATTTTCCTTCTCAACACTTTGAATCTCCAGAATTCACTAAGTGTTGATCCAAAGTTAGAGCCGGTCAAGAATGCTAAGTGTAAACTCTGAGGAAGCAGGATCAAAGTTCGGATGAAGGAAGA